TCTACCGTAAAATTACTTTTGATAACTTATCGTACGATTAAAATTTTGTTAAACATATTTAGAGAGTTCAAATTGTCTTGTTCGTGCTTCAGTCGCAAAATGGTCGCTTGATTTTCGTCGCGATATATGCGCCCTTTCTCCTTTACCCGAACGAAACCAGCCCGTCATTCACGTGGGGCCCTGCACGGCGTTGTTAATTAACGCGATATTATGTGTTGAACGTACAATGGAAACAATGCGCGTCTGGGTTATTATTCCACCGGTATAAATTAATTTACCGTTGCGTTTTGCTCCAACTAACCGTGAACTCGTTTAATGCGGATTTTAATATTTGCACCCTGTATCGGTGATTATTGTCGAACGAGAGAGCTATTAAAGTCTCGGCCCTACTATTAGCGTCATTGTATGTCACGTTCATTTATAATGTTTCAGTTACAGCAATTTTTTTTCCTTCACTCCATTACTTTCCTGCACTTTTAATTTCTAGGTTAGGTTCATCAATCTGCATTTTCTAGTTTTAGATTTTCTAACCTACTTATCAAGTTGCATTCGCGATTTCTGAAGCACTAAGGTTATATATTTTTAAAGAGTTTTCACGACAAAGTTACTGGTTAAATAATGAACCGTGTATACGGTTAAAAAATGAGAAAGTAACGACTGCGATAAATTTTTATTAATAAAATATTCAAGCAACGAAATCTAGTCTGACAGTTACGTATTCAACACCTGCTATATCAATTCATCGACTATGGTGTAACATTAGTCATACAAGATTAATTTGCTGCATGAAAATGAAGATTATCCCCTTGAATTGAAATTACGATTTTATGCGGTGAACAATTTATACCGACGAACTACACTAGACACACTCTACACTACATACTCAATGTATTATAACACTTTTTTTAAACATTCTTGTTAAGTTAAACAAATAATAATGTTTAAAACAATTATTAAAATTCACAGGAACTTTACACCAATGATTACAACACATTCTTTGAACGTTTTTATTGTACGTTCAGGTATACAAGGCACACGTCGCAGTGTCTAAGGAAAACTTTTCATAAATTGATTCACTCGTCAAATTAATAGTTTATTTAACTTGCACTGTAATAACATGTATTCTATTAATTGAGTAACATATAAAACGCCACTGCACAAATAAATACAGTAGGGAATACGGCGTCCGGTAACGTGAGCATCGATCATCGCGCCATCTGATCAATAGACACATCGATATCAGCGCGCCAAATTCAAAATTTACTAAATCTTTTCCTTAAAAATACTTGTTCCCTAAGACAATTCTTTTTTCTATCATAAATACAATAGAACTAACGTTCTTAAGTCACAATCGTGCACAGTTGTTACAAATTACACTAAATTTGTTGTTTACTCAGAGATTAAAAACAATGATAAATAACTTTCCCGTGAAATAGGTTAGGTACGAACACTTGAAAATTCCTACATTTTATAAAAATCCTTTTTCTCTCATGTTACACGTTTCCTGATGTATGTATCTACATACATATGTACGTTCGTTCCACGGTTCGTGCCAAAATTTATAACACTTTTTATCTCCTTCCTTCTCCTCCTCTGTCCGTGGTGTGTCACGTGATTTATGTCCACGCGGAGGCTGAACACGGACTAACGCATGTCAATGGCGTTAGGGCTTTCGGATGCATTCGAATTGAACCTTTTCGATTTGTCAGGCTGCCGTCCCTGTGAAATGATTTCCTGTCGCATTTGTCCACGTCACCGGGCATTACCGCGCGCCATTTTTCTGATGGATGTCGGATCGAGTGCTTCTTCGCTGTTCGACGAAAGTCACCAGTGGTTGTTAACCAATTCGATGGTCGTTTTGAGAATAGTCGAAGTTTTTTGGGGAAAAGAACTGAATTTGTAAACGAGAATTATAATTCACAAAGGAATTTCAATAACGATATTTTCGTTTACGTAACCTCTAAATATTTTAATCTCAGCACAATACATATAATGTAACATTTGTTTGTATTTTCCATTGAATTTGTAATCAAATTTCAAACAATGCACTATTATCAATTAATGTAGCTTTTAGGTTAGGTCATTTTGATTGTTCTGATAATTCCATAAAAATCATTCACATTGTTACACACACTAGGGTCAGTTTTAAGTTTCTTATAGAACAATGCACAATTAAAGAACAAAACGTGGAACACTACAACTAACCTCGCATAGTTATCGAAAAACTATTGTATGTAGCGATAGTACGTAGTACTCGCGCCACCCTGTTCGCCCTCGAATCTCCTTTCACGCGTGGATTTCACAACGGAAGCAGCCAGGAACTCAGATGAATATTTCTCGTTAATGAACGAGAGGACCTCGACCCTCTTGCCCCGACTTTTTTTCCCAGCTTTCGACGTAAGCTTCTCTCTCTCTCTTTCCCTTTCTTCTTTTCTTATGTAGTACAGAGTCTCGTCTGGCATGGCGCAAAGTGAATTCAGGCGGACGGCATGATCTTCTGGAGATCGTTTAATCTTAACGCTGAAGAGTACTCAGTAGGAGCTTCCAGAAGGTTTCCTGTATTTGACTCACTGAATGTGGACAAATTACTTGACGCAGAGCTTTAAGGGAATAAAGTTACGACTCTGTGTGTTATTAAATAGTCAGGACAGAGGACTGAGCTGAATAATTATAGTAAAATTAATGACGGTGGTGAGGTTTTTTAATTTATTTTTCTACAGTAAACAGTAGAATTGAAGATAGCCAAATTTATTTATTTTTGTATAAAAAGAGGAAGTTGGAAGAATCATAGAATGAAATGGTATAGGATAGATTAGAATTATCTAAAAGTAACACTTATTGTGATTAAGTTTAAAAGAGTATTCAAATTTTCTAATAAAATTAAATGTAATAATATATGTATAATTAATATTATTCAAAGATTTCCTTATTATGTTTGCCTGTATACGCTCTATTGTTTTATTTAGAATTTGTATTAGTTCACGCACATAATGAAGCAACAGCAGTGCACTATTAGTGTGATAACGAAGGTGAAATGAGAAAATTTTTCCAAATTCTGATAATATTCGGAGAAGTTGGAAAATTCAATTACCCAGTATTCCTTATGTTATACATTAGATTCTATTATGTCCCAAAATAAGATAGAATTGAATCTTGTCGTTTCTTCTTACGAGTTGCTTAAACTTGCAAACGTATTCGTTATTAAAATCCAAAATTTCTAGACGAAAGTCAGAAGTTTTGTATTATACCGAAGAAATTTATTTTCACGTTACAAAGGCTGTATCTATCAATTTTAAAAAATTTCAACTTTTTAACTTTCCAAAATGAACGTGAAATTTTTTAAAATAATTTTCCAGGTCCGGAGGAGGAAAAATTGTTAGGCTCGATATTGTTACCGTCGTACAGAGTCACCGTATGCAAGCCTGAGGATAAAGTTAACCGGAAGTTCGCGTTCAAAGCAGAACACGCGAACATGAGGACCTATCATTTCGCAGCGGACAGTCGCGAAAGCATGAATCAGTGGGTGAACGCGTTAACCTTGGCCACTCTTCTTCAGGATCCAAGCCCGTAAGTAACCATGTTACATTTAAAAAAATAAATAAATAAAAAGTTTGAAAAAAAATATACTTTAACGCCGTGCGAAAGTAAATAATTCGTTAGATAGCTTTAAGATCGTTTAACGTAAAAAAAAAAGAAAAGTAATTTAGGCGTTAATATGGTTAAGTATATCCATATTAAGAACACCCTGTATATTCCTTTGTAAATACTTGACGCGACAACCGATAAAGAGTTCAATCGGTTTGTCCCAGGAGAAACAATGAACAATACGAATTTAACGCGATTATACATTCATTAATGCCTGGATTAATACCTCATTACCCAGCATCCCTTCAATCGCTCAATTTTTAATTACCAAAACCATTCTATCGCACTTTCGATAAATCCACGATTCTTCGTTAATCTAAAAACTACAGTCCGTTAAACCAGCGTATTATTCCACACCGAACTTCAAACTTGAAACTTCGATTTCAATCAGGCGAACCAACACACCACAAATTCACAAACCAACAACAAATTCCCCGAAATGAAACTCCCCCCCCCTCAACTAGAATGCAACGTGTAATCGAGCCATTTGCCGTGTGCAATTAGACGCGAGCCTGAGTCAAACGAGGAGCCATGCCTGTTCGAACAAACGATCCGGGAAATTCGCTTTGTTTCCTTGCACACAGAAATTCCGGCGAACTATCCGTGTTCACTTGAACAGAAAAGTATTCGCGGGTATCCAGAACGAGCAGGTTCTGTTTTCGATCGCTGTGCACCTCGTTTCCGTCCGTTTGCTTTCTCGAAGTTGTCCGTGGATAAACTTCAGAGGTAGTAGTAGTAGTTTGTCGTTGCTTCGTGGAAAAACTGCGAAACGACCGTATCTCGTTTGCCAGCCTGATTCCCTGGCCGACGCATTCCCTTTGTGGTTTAGTTTGTTTTTTCCCAGAGTATGGTTAGGTTGTAATATTAAAATTATCTTATACATGTTAATTGAAACATACACAATTAGGCATATTATTCTATGCACCGCGTTAATATCAATATTTTTCACAATTAAACCTAACATTTATCGATTGGCGTCATCAGCCATTACTGATTCTCTCTACTCGCGTTACGTTACGCGAGCTTTCTAAGACGCTATGTAGTGCCAACCGCGCCCCCCACTGCTTAGTTACGAGCGCGGTTTGTGCGTATTCTCAAAGTTAGCACCTGGTGGCCTGGGACGAAATCCTCTTTCGCTTCAAGAAACTAGAATCCAGAGATCTTTATTTGCACATTGGTCCTTCGAATTAACCATTTACCACGAATTAACCATTTCTTAGTGTCGTCTGTTTGTTCGTGAGATTACTCTCGTCTTGCTTCTCGAGCGCTCATTAGCGTACAGTACGAGGAGACTAATTGGATTGATAAATAGAGTATTCATCTTTGAATGATACACGTTGAAATATACTGTGGGCCACGTATTATTTGTGACGACCGATGTACATAAATACGATACAGTAATGCTTCGACAAATGTTTACGTGGTTGCCCTTACACCATTTCTCGGAACTGCTTCAACCGAGCGACCCTTCTAGCCACCTGCGTCCGAAGTTCAAAGTCGACGGACAATGAGTCATGCCTACATACTATGAAGAGTTCAGTGTTTCTAACCGTTATTTAATCTGAATAAATACTGAGAAATTATCGAAGGCGTTATTGTCTTATGTTCGAAACAAAAATACTATTAATCCAACAAAAAAGAAAAAAAAAACAAATATTTCAGTTGTAATGAAAAATATAATAAGAAAAAGAAATTGAATTTACTTTAGTGGAGCTGGTGAAGCAGCAGTAGTGATAGAGATAGCTGGCCAGCAAGACGGCGAGCGCAGCGCTCGTCCAAGCGTGTCCTCCATATCTTCCATCTTGAATCAGAGCGCCGACGACAGCGATTCTGGTTTCCATGGTTTCCAATCACGTGACGACCCTAGCCACGCGTCCAACAACAACTCCAGTCCGAACAGCGTGAACACTGCCTCCTTCCCTAACCTCAGCGGCAGTAACAGCAACAGCAACACCAACAATGGGAACAATAATAACACCAATAACAACAATAGCATCGTTCCCAACGCTGGTAACAATAACATCAACGATGTACAACCAATGGTAAACGGTTGGATTCAGCAACAAACTCCTCCTTATGGTCAACCCAGTACGTCACAGCATCAGCAACAGCAGCAGTACGGCCAATTGATACCCGCTGCTCAACAAATGCAAGGCCACTCTCATCAGCACCAAGCATTGCTTCATCAACATCTGTCACATCAGAGTACCAATCAGAATCACCAGAATTATCAGCATAAGCATGTTGCTCAGCCACAGCAGTCTCAGTCACATTTAACAGCCAGCAACGTGCAAACTGTTCAGCCTATGCCCAGAAAGTTTGGTCAACCGATCTACGCCAATGCTCCTCCAAAGCCAAGAAGACTGACAGATGGATCCACTGAGTATTCGACACCGTCTCCCGATCCAGATTACAGAAAGTCACCGGTATCGCCTGATGTGACAGTGACCAGTAAAAGCCCTATGTCCGATTACGATAGAAGCAGCATGATATACGGGACAAGGATGAGTCAGCCGTCGCAACAGAGTCTCAGGACGGACAAGTCTGGCTTGAATTATGGTTACGGTCAAGTGCAGACCGAGAGGCGCACACCTGACACCTATGGGCGAAGCGCGGCGAAACCGAGATCTAGTAGGGGGGGGAATGGTGACTATGAGGAAGTTTATGGAGCACCTCAGTTATATCAGAGGCCGGCTGGACCCGTCGGATACACGAAAGGCTCGTCTCCCGCGCCGATACCGATTCCATTGTATACGCAACAGCATCAACAGTACCAACAGCAGGTTCTCTCTCCCGTCGCGCCATCTAACGGTGAGTAGTTTCGTTTTTGAATATTGTCACGGGGTTTCAGAAGGATTTGAGAAAGTATTTTTTGGGAAAATTGATTTATCTGATTATGGTTGTGGAGTGAGTAATTTTAGAAATTACTTTTATTACAGAGAAACATTTTCTTTTGCTAGATAATCAGATCTTTGCTTCTAAATTGGCTTCTTAACCTCAAATAATAAGTATAAGTACAAAAGTAGAATGTAAGATAAAAGAGGGTGTTTGTAAAATGTGATTGTAACCAGTGTTTCCTCTACAAATTGGTGTTGAACGTTGTGAAAGTACTAAGAAAACTGTTATTCTTGTTTGATTCAGTGCCAATAATGAGGCAACCGAGGGCGCAGCCACCACCGCGACCGCACAGCGCGGACTTCTTGGAGTACGAGGCGACCAGAAAGCCTCAACAGCAGATGCCGTTGCAGTGTGAGGATACAGTGAACCAACAGAGGCGTCCACAAAGGCCTAAATCGAGTTTAGACATAGTCACTCCGTCGGACGCTGCAAACGATGGATACTTCTATTCCGAAGAAAGGTAAAATTCTCTTCTAATGCAACATGAAAAGAACATAAGAAATGGAATTTTATGATTCGTTACACTTCTGATGTGAAGGAAAGTAAAAGTAACTTGATTTCAATCTCATCATATAATAACTTCAAATAATCTGCTAACACTCGTCAGATTCATCCAATAAATCACCAGTAATCTTCACTTAATCACGAAACCTCCATATCCAAAGGAAACACTCCATTTATGTTCGCACACATATTCTTTTAGCCAAAAGTGTCTTAAAAGTTTGCTCTCTTAATTTTTTTTCACAATATCGAAGGCAATACGGTTTATATTTGGTATAGATACGCGGCACAGATGCGGCAGTCCGCAGTTTATCTCCATCAGACGCCTCAACATCATCAGCAACAAAGGAACCAATCACTTTCCCGCGCGACAATGCCATCGAAAGCAACGGGTACCCGCGACAGAAGCGACGAAAGTAGAATAGCAACGCTGCCGGAAGCTTCCTGCTCGGGCCTGAGGCGGGGACAACGCGAACACGTTCATCAGCAGCACGTGATGCCGCACCAATCGCTACAGAGGCATACCGAGTGAGTCACTGCCCGTCAGTCTTTTCTCTAGACTTGTTTCTCCCTACAAAGAAATGCATGCATAGGATTGTTTTAATTCTTCTTTGTCGAAAATTTAAATTTGTTCGTTTGATTTTGAATTAAATTTGAATATTCAAATTTAATTGGCTGATTTTCAGAGTTTAATTCGAAAATTTATATTCGATTCGAATGTTTTGCTTTTTATATAAAATTACATTTAAAAATATCAAAACAGGATTTCAAAATTTTTATATTACTTTGAATCTAAATTCTAGATACAGTTTGTGTAGCGGAATTTTATTTAGTTGGAGAATGTCATTTCATTACCACTAAAAAAGAAATATCGAAATGTCAATACACTTTCCCACACCAGAGATGCGACTAGATGCACTTGCATTCACCTAACTGAAAATCGATAATGCCTATCTGCAAGAAATGCCATCCGTGTCTTACAATATCCTTACAATAATAGCATCGTGTACATATAGACATGTTCCTGGAGGTACTACTTGCTATTGCTGTTCAAGAAAATGTACACGAATGAAATTCCTACAAGAAGAAAGATGCTAATGTATCGATACACCTTTCTATATCCCTTTTCGTGAATAAAAGATGAACTTTGAAACATCTACATACATCATAAGAAAAGGTCGAAACTCTAACAAATTTAGTTACACAGAATCGCTTTTATGCCTAACCATATTTAGCTGATTTAAATATCCACGGATAGATATCAGTTTCGAGAGTACAAAATCTGGAGATATTTTTAATCTACACAAATCCATAGAAAATTCCAGAAACGGCATCGTTATAAATTCCAATAATTTTACTAGACAGCTACTTTGGTCGCTATATTAATACAGTAGAACTAAATACAGTTAGTTTCACATCGATACAATCTACATTTTCATCTAACCTCACTTCACATCTACGCGCACTCAAAAAGAGGTAGAGGGAGAAAGAGAGAACACGAACACGCGAGCATCCAACTTCCTGTAAGAAAATTACTACTTACTCAGCTAGAACGCGCGCGATATTTGCCTATTGGTGCGCAGGATGAACAGCAGCGAGGCGAAGCTGAGGCGTTCGCTGCGTGAGAAGAGCTATGAGTCGAGTAGCCGTGAAATGCTGAGTCATATGACAGAGGATGGGACGATGCCGCGAAGAATTTCACGAGAATACGAGTCGGCTATAGGGTGGGGCGGCAGGCCGGCGAGTCACACGGGCCAGGGGAGCGCTCACGTGGGCCAAGCGTGCCACGCTCCTCACGCCGCCGCCAGACGATGGAACGAGCAGCAACAGTTCTGCAGGTCGGCGTCCGCACGCCTACCGAGGACCAGGCATCCAGCCGCGTTGGACGCCGACGACGACGACTACGGGGAACGATCTTCCGAACAGGACTCGCGGGATGGTGAGCGAAAGATACAACAGGTTAGTGGGAGTCGTTTTGTCGGTTAGAAGTTCGTTCAGTTACGTTTCGATGTTTGACAAAGTGGCATGTGGCGGTTTATATGGTTGGTACATTATCGCAATTCCAGTGAGAAGTTGTCAGGTTAATTTGTTGTAAATTGTGATCGGACTGTGATATAGTTTTAGGATTCGATTTTCGTTGTGCATTTCCGTTTTGTAGAAGGTAAGTAGAAGCTGCGAGAGTAATATGTGATTCTAGGTTAACCTATAAATCGATGGGTTCGTTTATCAGTCGGAAATTGAATTTTTTTTACTGCGTACCTAAAAATTGGTAGGAGTTTTAACTGGTTAGGTTAGATTTTCTTATTGTAAATGCGAGTGTGGGGTAGTTTGTTTAATACGGGTATAATTTTATAGTTATAGTGGCTTAATGTTTACACATGTTGATAATTTAATTGAGGAGTTATTAATATTTCAGTTGCATTTACATTTGAAATGTTAGCGGTCCCTAAACATGTTGATATTTTAGACATCAACATGAATAAAGTAGTGCTTTGTGACGTCAATTAACATAACCTTGAACGGTAGAATGTAGCAACACAGATCGAAATGTCAGTTACATAACCTTTGCAAGTGCTACATACTTTTGGAAACGAGTTTATGACAGTGTATATAGCAACATAAATTGCTAACAAACATACACTTTCTCGTGTAAAACATTCTATTCGTAATTGAACGAAGTACGAAGGAATTCCTAGTTACATTTATAGGTTAGGAACTTCAAAATTTGTTTAAGCCTCAAAGAAAAATATCCGCATTCACACTGAATTTATTTATCAATTTTTAAAAACGTCACATTTTTAACAAACATTCCAATATCTATTGTACAATATTTTTCGTTTAACTCAAAACTTCCGTTATAAAATGTTGAAATTAAACTTGTACAAATATCGATATATGACTAAAGTAACCATCGCTCGTGGTTAAACATATTTTCACACAGCAACTAGTCAATATTTTCCGCTTCAAAACGAAAATACACCTTCCCAAATATTTACATTCAAGTTTTGGTATGTGAATCTCCCTTTGAATACCATAAAACCTTGTTCACAATCTCTGCGTTGCGTCTCCGATTTGTCCGCGCGTAGAAAGGGCACTCTTGAGATACCGACGACACGCAGGAACGCGTTACAAATTCCCAAAGGCGAGCATGGGGAGGCTCGGCAAGAGATGACTCATAAATCGTCAATTCTCGTTCTACTGCGTAATCGTAAACCGTGTTGGCTTGCCGGTTGACGGACAGCACAATTCATAGGCCGAGCAGGAAAAAGAAAGATGATTCATGCGGAGGTGCAACCTGCGCTCTGTAGTACCTGCATTTAAGTCACATCGCGTTCCGAGATTCTGCTTTCACTGCGATCCGTTCGATCGCGTCATCGACGCCGCGAGTGCGAGCACGGTTACCTCGAACGTGGAGCTTCGTGACTTCCTTGTATATATGTACATATACATAAATATATATACTTTTTGTTCGTGTTTCGAAATCGTATCGTCTTCATTGTTTTATCTATCTTTCCTGGATTACTTTTGAAAACTTTGTTCTTTGGTATGTTTTATAGGTTAATCGTTTCACTTCTTAGTGAATGCATTTGAATTTTTTGAGCAGGTTGAGAAGCTTGTGTTTAGCTTGTTTAAGGAATCGAAGGGAATAGAATGTATGGTTAGGTTAGGTTATAAATTTATAACGAAAGGAAACTTTTAATTTGAAATAAAAGTGGAGTCGTTGTTTTAAAAAATACAATGTTACTTTTCAAATTATCTTCTTTGTAATAAAAATTTTTTGTAAGTTAGGTTTTCAATTCGAAGTGTAGCTAATTATCGTAAATTTATTTCAAATTTGACATGTACAGAAGATTGTACAGCCTAAAATATAATTTTCTAAATTTATTTGAAACTGCAGTGAAAAATTGTAGGTGGAAAATTTTTCTTTCCAATTGAAAAAGTGTCGGTGAAAAAGTTCGTACGAGAATGATTTGTGAAATGTTGAGAAAAGTGCGTGTGGTTACAGCGCGAGGAGTCGATGAAGCGGTTGCTTGAATGGAAGCAGCGGATGCTGCAGTCGCCGTTGACCCGGAAGCCATCGGCTTCCGCAAACAGAGGCCGGACTCAGAATGAGTTGTCTACCTATTACAAGCAGCAGGCGTTGCTTGAGCTCGCTGCCCATGAAGCCTCAGTCGCAGAGGGTCGTCACTCACGGCGAAGGGAGGACGGTCATCGGCCGCACGTACGCAGCAAGAGCACCGACGGACGCCGCACTGTCGCCAACGTTTCGCGATACAACAGTTATTCCAGCGACGACGAAGGTAGGGACACATCGCCTGAACTTATTATCTGAGTTGTGGCTTATACTGGTTGATGCACGTTAAACGAGTCTCAAACGAAAAATACAGTTTTAAGGTTATATTTCGTATTTCCACTTGACACGTCGCGTTGGATATTATTCAACGCTGTCGCGCATGCGCATGAGTTCACTGAACCTCTCTACCATATCGAATTCAACAGAAATGTTAGGTATATATTATTACCAAATAAAAACCTGTATTTTGCGTTTGGGTCTGGTTTTATCTGCGCCACCCATTACGTTACTTGGCTATTCGTGGGACCATAGTTCTTTTCTATATAAGTTTCTTTTTTTTTTTTTTTTTTTTACTTTGACAGTTCGACTGGAATGTCGGCCATATTTGAGTGGTTCGATTATCGATTGTAGTTTGACTGCCCTGGCAGCCATGTTTGATAAGTGATTCGTGAATCAATAATGACGCCATTTTTAAAGATGGATGACTCTCGTTTTCTTAACTAATGATTTTATTACTATATATACACGGTGTATAGTAATTGGTGGCGGAAAAATACGAAAATAAGTTGAAACGAGTGAAATAAATTTTTTTACACGAAGTTTCGCCTTCGAGAAAATCGATTTTCTCGAAATCGAAATATCGTATGAGATGCAATTTAATTTCATATCTTCGAATTATTTTCATACAAGAAATTTTGAAACGTCCTGTACAGTAATTCGCATGGGGGTAGATGTAATTATTTTTTCACTGACATTGGCCAGTCGAACTGTAAAAGAAGATGAATAAGTTTTCTTTTTTTTTTTTTTGCATAGTTATAGTTTAGACTGTAAACTGAATAATATCCAGTGAATTATACTCTTAACGACGAAAATTGTTTGGAAATCGTACGGGTGTCAATAATATTATTCTAAAGAATGTTTTTTAACGTTTGAAACATTGGAACACATTCTTCGAAATAATATACGTTAAACACCAAATATTTCTTAAACAATTTCAATAAATTCGTAGAATTCGTAGAAATAAGATTATTATGTTAATTTTGGTCCCACGAACGAGCTGCATTTGCGACTGAAAGAACTCTAAGTAGATAGCTGTACTGTACTAAGAACGATAGCAAACTCTAACCTAACGTATAATAACCGCTCTAACACGGTCGACGTACTTACGTGTTCTGCGAAATAAAACCTTTGAAAAAAGAACCCCCCCTCCCCAAAAAAAAACGAAAAAAAAAAGAACTGCTTTTGTATGGTGTTTTTTGCACGAGTCGAGAGGTCGCGTTAGAGACACGTTACCAAAGACCTTCTTCGTACTATGAACGAGCAAATACGCTGATATGCGCATGACATGATTTTTATATATACCTATATATACATATATTTTTTTAAATATCAATTTTCTCTAAATAAAGTGCCTTGATTCAATTTTTCGAGAGTCGTATTAATCTGTGTGCATCACGAATCCCAGCTACTCTTAATAATTAAAGTTAATTCAATTAAAACTAAGACACACGAGTGTTACATGCCTAAAGAGATCGAAATAAAAAAGGAACGAATAAATAAATTGAGAAAAAAAGAAAAAAGAAGCATATGTTCTAGCGACGTACACAACGACGGCAACGTTTGAATCTTCCTCGTCTGTGCTCTCCCCTCTCTTTCTATGGCTGTTCTTCTCTTCTATCGCCAAGCCGCCCCTCGTGTCGAGAGATGGTTGGGCTGTAGACCGAATTTGTAGATAGCGAGGATGTTTCGAGAAAGGTGAAAGAAAACGCTGAAAGATAGGGAAAAAGAAAGTATAAAACGTAAAAAAAAAAGTATATCTATGAGCGAAATATCTGCAAACACACATATTCTCTCCGTTGGGGCTCCTTCTCTTTGCTGCTGTTGTGGGTCTGGGCTGACTGGTGAATGGGAAACGATTAACACCTTTGGAAATTTAACTAGCGACTACCGTCCGTTACGAGTCCCTAACACCCCTAAATAGAGCCGTACTACTTTGCAAGATGTGGGTCAGCATGGCATGCCGAGGAATTATATCACTAACACACTATCGTAGAGGCGCCATTTGCCTTCCAGCTCGTAAACGCGTGTTTTGTCATTGTAAAATGACAGAGGAACACGAACCTCGGATTGGTTCACTGATCGTTGCAGAATCGTGAAACGGTGGTGTTACTTTCTTTTCTGTCTTGGTTAGACTGATGTTCGTATACAGAGTGTTTTTTAAAGGAACAGGTACAAATTGAAAGAAATGAAAAAATTTCAGTTAACCTGTGTCGAAGAATTTTAATCGTTTCGAAAAATGCGCACTCTGTATACGAAATACGTGAAAAAATTTTCCGAATAGAAGGAAAATTGCTTCAGTACGTTTGGAACGCCCTGTATATTGAAATCTTCCTTATGTGAGGGAAAGGCTGTAATCATTCTCAAATATCACACGTTTGATTCCCCACTACAATTTTCTAAATAGAGGAAAAATTGCTTTGTTACTTTTGAAACGCCCTGTGTATTGAAATCTTCCACATAGAGAAGACATGCCTAAAATATTCCTCAAATATCACACGAGTTCCCTACTTCAAGTTCTTCCAAATAGAAAGGAAATTACTTTGTTACTTTTGAAACACCCTGTACATGTCAAACTTTCGTAAAACACAACCCTAATTACCCCCACTGCGTCTGATTCCCCATTTCATCTTTCTGAATAGGAGAAAAAATTACGTTGCCATTTTTGAGACACCCTGTATATGAAAAGTTACTTCATTCACACAAACAATTACGCTTATCGAACAACGATCACACTGTCATTTTTCTCGTAAACGATCAGAACCGATCCGAGCTTCTGTTGGTAGCCCTGGCTTGTGGACATTTGCATACCGAGAGGGTGGTTGGTGTTGTTGTAATTAATCTGACTGACTCACTCACTCGTGAGTAACTGAACGTCCTCTCGTGTGTTTGTTCTGTAACGGACGATTCAGAGCTGGGAGATGTCCGGAGGAAGCGCACGCGCAGACCCTCGCATGCAGGAAGGAGCCCTAGGCAGTCGGGAGACAATCGTGCGTCGGGGATCCTGGCCCAGGATGGCCGCCAAACGAACCAGACCGCTGTTCGTCAGTCTAACGAGCGGCAAACGAGCCCTGAACTGGGCGGTATACCCCCAGACGCCGGCTACGAGGAGGTCAGCTTTCCCTCCGCGCACAGAAACGATCGTTCTCCTTCGTATCGTTCCTCTGAACAAAGGCAAGCTACCGTTAGAAACGATCAACAAGACCTGGACAGCTGTTCGTACGACGAGGACAAGTTCAAGAAGAAACCGTCTGGTATATTGAAGACTTCCACTTCTTACGGCGGTGTCGAGCAGAATAGCAGCAAAGCGTCCAATACAACAGGATCTCCTGGATACGTAAATGAGACCTGGCCAGCTCAGAAGAGTGTACAATGGACCACTAAGAGGGAGCGAGATGACTGGGATTCTAATATCGACGAGAGTAAAGTGATCAAGGAGTTTTCTTATCAGTATATCAAGCCTAAAGAAGAGCTGGAAGGAGGGATGAAGGAAGAGAGGACAGTTGGAAAATTGGAGACCATGAATCTGGTGCAGTGTAGGATACGTTCGTTCGAGTTGAGCATGGATGGATCTAGTCCTGTGAAGGAGGTGCTCGCTATGCAGGAACCGTTGAAGGTGTCTCCTCTTCAGGCGACGGAGGCTCACGTTTCAAAGCTAGACTGTTCGAAAAAGGCGTCGTCAATAATCAGAAACTTTGCTCTAGGTGATTCGGACTCTCAGGATTCTAAGTACAGGAAAGATGGCCATGCTAAACAGGCTTCGACGGACAGCAATAAGTCGGTGAAAGATCTGCTGGCTGACTTTGAGAGGAAGTCTCAACAGGTGCAGAGACAGGAATACGGTAGACGTCAGGAAGTGAAGCATCGTGGAGTGTTCAGCGATTCAGAAGCATTGTTATACGACACAGGTAGCGACTTAGATCAACAGGATAAGAACGACGATGGAGAGAATGAGAGGGATATGAAGGCGGACCAAGTTGTACCTGAGCCTATCAACGACCACAAAGTCTATACAGACACTACGAAGAAGAAAAGGGAGGTTTCCTTCAGAAGAAAGAAAAGATCATCCTCCAAGGAGAGTATATGTGACCAAACAATTCCTGCAGAGGATCTAGACATCATGTCAAACCCCAGTTGTACTAGACTAAGCGTCACAGAATCTTTGTTAACTCATGGTGACAGATTCTCTGGGGAAAGTGGAACCACCAGTCCAACTGTGAAACAAGAAGACATTAATCCAGAGGAACATTATCTCCCTATGTCACCTAGGAAAGCTATATTGGATCCAAACGACGATAGACCTAATCCAAAGATCATGGAGAGCTTATTTGCCAATTTGGAACACGAAGAGAGTTCCTATGTGGAGATGGCACAGAATGGAATGACCCATTCACTTCTTGCACCCACTGAAGAAAGTGGAAAACACGATTCTGGTGATTATTCCACATTGGACACACCTCATTATGAGTTTGTTTGCGTTTCAGATAGCAAAATGGAGCCAGTGTATATGGAGGTGAGTCATTTGTCTGAGAAAGAGGAGAAAGATGTTGGAAAGATGTCTCTGAAGAAGAGGAATCATGAAGATTCGAGGACTGATCTTCCTGATATACTAACTGCACTGAAATCAGACAGTTCTGATGCAGATGATGAATCATCAAAGGATCTAGACTCTATAGATGCTCCAAGACATCCTAGATTCAGTCTCTCAGACACTTTCAGACCTGCTTCTTATTATCTGGGAGCCAGTAGGACCATGATTGCAGAATTGCATGATTCTTCTGACAGTGAACTGGTGTCTCCACCTCCAATTCCTACTTCTCCACCTCCTTTGGACGATTTAGACTCTCTGGACATGCAAGAGTCCTTGGAAATTAAGAAAGTGTCGCCTCAAGTAGCAGTGATGAAGGACAATAGTTCTAATAGAGACTCTCCAAAGTCTTGGAACAAGCCAATGGGCCAGATAGAGACTCACAGACCTCCATCAAGATTTTCTGATGCTACTATCAGCTCAACTTTCAGAGATAGTCGAATTTCTCTGGAAAGTGCCTCTGGAAGTGATTCTGTGGAACTGAGAACACCAGAAGAAGAAGCAAGACATAGGCAATTGAAAACAAGACCTGTTAGTGAAGTCTGTGAGGTTTTGGACAGTTTGGATGAGTTAGAGTCACTTGGAAGTCGCTTCGACGGAGCCAGTATTGATCTAGATCAGTATCTAGAAGAGTTGCAGGCTCGAGATGCCTTTAACGTAGACTTGTATGCAAAAGATCTCAGTTACAACAGTATTTATGGGTTCAATGAGAACATGATGGTTGTGGACAAGCTTCAGAAGACTACCTGCTACGATTTGTCCAGACAAGTGAACCTAGGCTTTGGCAATCTCTCAGATCAATCTCTCAAGTATGGTACACCTAGCAGAATGGGATCAGCAAGTAGTTTACCCTCCATGAGAGTCTGTGATTTACCTCCATCTCATCAACATTCACAATCCTTCACTGGAGATGCTCACTATGAGAATATTTCCAGCTTTTCTCCATTGAGAGGCTCACCAGCTGTTAGATCTGACATTGAACAACCTAGAGATGGTACTCACAGACTCCAAAGAGGTTCTCAGAATAACTTACTAACAACTTCTCATAGCAGAGACTCCAGTTACTCTCTATTCTCTGCAGCTGCCTCCATTTCCACTTCCATGGCCTGTCAGAGACCTGCCAGTGCTCAGTCTTCAACAGGATCCATCTCACTGGGAAACCATGGGAACAATATGGTCACAAATATGATGCAGAACACCAGTCCATACTCTGATCAAAGGTTCCAAAGTCACTCTAGATCTGCTAGCCAAGATTCAGCCAGATATTCAATGGTATCTAATCACAGATCCTCCTCCAGCCAAGATTCCAGCCACTATCCAACGTCTACGTCCACTGTGAAAACCAATCCTGCTCCTCAGTCCTATCTACCTGGTGAACCACGTCCTCAAAGTGAACAGTCAGGTGCACCTTACTATTATTCAGACCTTCAAGCAACTGTAAGTAGTGTGGTGGACACTGATTCATCCAAACCAATTGGACACACGTCAAGACTGCCTCAGTTGAACAATCAGAGAGACGATGCTTCTGCTTTGAACAAGAGGAACGACATAGGACGCATTATGAATCCAATATCTAGGCAATTGCCCAGGCAAATTCAAGTAGACGACATAGACGAAGCTAGGAGGATAGCTGCAGAACTCAGGAAGACCACCTGTCAATTATTAGGAGACAATAAAGTGGATCTTGTGGACAAGAAGAATTTCTATGAAGCTGACACACTTAGAAGAGTGAAGTCTACCGATCCTCTGCCTGATATCTCATCAGCAGAGATTAACACCAGGAATCTTTATCCCCATGGTCTACGAGATAAGTCTAACAGCCAGTCAAATAACAAAGACACCTTTGAATTGATTCACGGCACCCAAACTTCTCACAGAAGATCCAGGTCACTGGAGGGTCTTCTAGACGACGTGGGTCTTCAGAATTTAGTAGAGCAGAGGAACAGAAGCAATAGAGTAGCTACAGTGCAGCAGCCTAGTCAAGCAGAAGAACCACCTGAGAATCTAACCACAGATAGTCTCCCATCCTCAAACTTCACCGCAGAAGATCCATGGGAACAAGACTCTCTGTGGAGGGAGAGCCTCAGAAGAGTCAGCCTAAGAAACGCCAGGTCTCTAGACAATCTGGACACTCCACAACGACCTGTACTAACCTCTTCAGACTCAAAAGGACGTAACAAGGTAACAAGAGGTGCAACCTATGTGAACGACAGTGTAATCCTAAGAAGAGAGAACTGTTTGGAAGACTCCTCTTCAGACAGACCTCGCGTGAAGCGTAGAGCTAACAAGGATCAGGATAGAGAACAGCAGCTGATCGATGATCTAACTTATGAGAGCCTATCTATGGAACGAATCCACGCTGGTGGTTATGTATGGGACGCCCAGAACGAGGCGTACAGAAAAGCGACAGCCGACGACAGGGATCATTTTTTAGAGGAAGGCAACCTTCCCCCGGTTCGCTCGATCTCAGAGACCCAACAGCAGCAGGCGTTCGAGCTAGACCGCGAGAAGCTACGTCAATGGGACCTGCTGTCGAGCGCCTGCTTGCTCCAGGAACAGCAGCGTGGCTCGATGGCGGACTCGGGGCGAGGGTTGCCAACCGTAGAACGACCTGGAGACGTTCCAGACACCTCGAGGAACGGGAACAGGCCACCGAGTGGTCGAGGCATGGTCATCAAGATGATGGACGCGTCGACGACGAGCAACGACAGGCAGGAGGCACGCGACGAGACCAAGGAGGCTTGTAACAGGGCTGCTGCAGGTGAGTGGCTCGCCAAGACAACCGGTGGTGTGTACAGGAAGTGATGACTGGCCGTGTTCCAAAGCCTCTGACCTGGACTCTAGAAATTACTCGAGACGAGGTGGACTATAATCTATTGTTGTTCGATACCAAATGTACCTGCGTTTCTTTTTTTTCCCCCACGGTGGCCTTTGTATAGTGTCTCTTCTTAATGGCCACAGGAGGTTGTTTGTATTCTTTTGAAACGAGACAATTATTAGTCTCTAAATTGAAGGATTAATTTCGTGAACTTTAGATGGCCAAGCAATTTTTATATTCTTCTTTTTTGATTGTACTGTTAGTTCACTGTTTAGAGACTGTAGGTAGAAAGTGAAGATTGTGTTAATGAAATGTGTAATGTTAATATTTATTGAAAGAGAGAGAGAGGTCAGTGTCTTTAATGTCTGAGATATGAATTTAGAATAGATAGGAAAGTTAGCAAGATGTTCTTGTACATATGGTGGTTCCAAATTTTTCACTGACAGTGTACAGTTGACTTAATGAAATTAGCAAATATTAAGTGTCCAAAATTTCATGAAGTCTCACATTTTAAGTATTGTAAGGGTATTATTGAGTAACATGTGTCAGAAATTTGATGAAGTGATTGTACATTATATTAGTAAAGCGAGAGTCAGTGCCGTGCCTCAGGGACGCTTAGGCCAATTTTTCAAATAATCATAATTAAAGAACCAGGCCTTTATCACAATTTCGTCACTCTTGGTTTTTGTTTTATTTTTTCATGTAGAATCACTCCATAAAATTCTTCTTTATCAAGAATTCTTTTATTCGTTTTTCAATAGAAATTACAGTCAAATATTTCAACCCTTAGAAATTGATTATGACATTTCAAAAATTAGGGTTCAGTTAATCGTCATTTCGAGTTTCAAAAGAATACAATTTCTAATTATTATTATTTACAATTAGTCGATAAACAGAAGACCGCGTTCCAACTTGCATTTCTACATTCGTTCGTTCTCTTTCTTAACCTCTTCAGGCACAATTTTTTTAAAGTTAGAACAAAATGATCCAATCTTTCATATATTTATATTTTATGCATCTTAAATCGATAGAAATTAAATTGTTCTTCGTGTTAGCAAATTGTGTAACGAATTCACTATTTTTTTATATTTTTTTCAATACAAATATTCGAATTTTCAATCAAAACTAACGCACATGCGTCAGTGTGTCCCTGAAGAGGTTAACGTAAACGATATTATTATTCGAACATTTATTCGAACGAAGTACCAAGAAAAAGAGTCAGGATGACTCGATTGAAAAATATGATACTCTTTGCTAACGATCGTTCGAGCAACATCGTCCCAAGCAGTGCGAGTTGGAACACGGCCTGACTGACAGATGAGTGTTGCACGTGAGATGATACGTGTGTGAATGCCTCTCGTTAGCCGCCATTGTACGTCGAGGAAGAAGTTCGCGACTTTGCTAAATGGTGTCGAGACTACGTTACCGACGAATCATTGGATCACATTCTTTCTCGTTATTATATTGAGAACTGTGTTTCGAGCTGTTCGAGGTAATAAGTGGAATACTCAACGCTTCTACTGCCACTGATATTAGTAAAACGGTTAATGTTAGTTCTGTTGGAAAATTCCGTTCTTTCTTGCGTCTCTTTTTGAGGGGTTGTACCGACATATGGAGAACTAGCGTTTTTAAAAATCTTACATGGAATTTTTCCGATTCTAATTTATCATCAAATTTCAATTCTTTCAATTCTTATTAAATATTTCAATTGAATCGAATTCAAAATAAGCCAACTTTTTTGTAAATAATTTGCTTTTCAGTGCATTGGTGGTTATTCTAAGATTACTTTTCTAGAATGAAATAAACCGTTGAAAAGTACGGTCTTTCCTTGTTGCTTTCCAACAGACCTAACCTCTACATTATTTATTGCGTAAAAAAAGTTTTTGAGGACAGAAAAAGTATTGAGCGAATGTGCCTATTTCTCCTTAATAGATGAATAAGTTATCAAGAGTAAGTTTTCAGGGTATAAGAATGGGGGTCGATTTTTTAATAGCGTAGTATATATATATATTACGACTCGAGTATCGGTTATCGATTTCGATATAATTGCAGGGGTCGTGTTTTAAAGGCGTCTTAATATACTAATTTTAAGTCTTCACGAGTTGTGTACATACACGTTAAGTACTTACTTCTTTTCCTCCTTCATTTTTAATATTCATTTAATACCTTTAGTTTGTAAGCGTGATTTAAAAAATGAAGGGTGAACTCAATTGCATTTTCTCTGTCATTATTTCGTACATTTGTACGTTGTCGAATAATCATGCCTGAATGAGGATCGACTGAAAATTGTTTCATTTTTTTTTTAACGTTTACGTTTAATTTTCTTTTCGTGAAATATTTTATCTGGAAATTTAGCGTGATTTTGTATTGGACCTTATAGTATTTAGACGAAGAAATTTATTTTAATCGGAAATTAATCGAAATATCGAAACTTTGACAGTGTCAATAAAAATCGAAAAATAGTAATAATTAACAGATCATGGATTCCTTAGGACACACCTTCCATATAAATCATTACAGGTTAATGTACACATAAATGAAGCGATGCCGTGTTCCGGAATTTCTGTGAGTAATTTTTTAGAATTTAAGAATTGAGCGAATATTAATTTATAGATTAAAGCAACTATATCCTAATGCAACGAAAATATATTTTTGACAAATAACATAAAAGACTGAATATTTAAAAAACTGGCGCAAAATT